TACCCCTGGCTGCGATTTTACATCGCACGAAAATTTCGGTGTTGGGGCGACAATCGTCCGCCGTTTTGCCTTCCAGTAGCGTGACGCGCAAGACTGCTGCCCCCTTCAAAGGAACTGGGGCTCCCGAAGCAATTCCATGCACATATTCGGGGTGGACCCACTTCTCAAGTCTCACGACCGGGAAGCCAGGATCCTCAGTGCCGATCCCAAGCTCTGCAGCCCGGTTCATCATGCCTACCACGAGCTCCTCAGTCACGTGGTTTGCGCCGGCGCAACCGTCAAGCATGCACTCGACCTTGCGGTCGAGGACCTGGACCACCGTCCTGTACTGGTAGCCTCCTGGCTCGTTGTCCGCCAGGTTCCACCAGTCCTTCGGCAGATCGTCCAAGGTGGCGAACTTGTCCCGCCCGCCCTTGCTTAACGGAAGCGCGTGCTGCTGCACCGCGGCGTGTCCTGCGGCTCCTAAGACGCCTGCCTGGACGCCTGAGCTGCCTATCTGGACACTGAACGCGGCGAAGGGGTTAGACATGGAAGCACCGGAGGGCGGGGCCCAGTTGGCAGGCAAGGCCGGCGTCCCTCCTGAGGTCGTCAGGTTGTGGACCATGTCGCAGCTGGCTCCTTTCTTGCACGACCCATTCTTGGAGAAAAAGGGGCAAACAGTGCCTGGTGGCTTTGCCGCGCCTTTGGCCGCAGCCTTAGGCTTTGCGTTGGCTTTTGCTTTGCCACCTCCCTTCCCTTTGCCTTTACCTTTCGCAGTGGCAAAGGTTTGGTCACCCTTCTTGGCCGCGAGAGCTTTTCTGCGAAGCTCCTTGTCGTGGCTGTACGGGCAGGCATCCCCTTTCGGGCAATTCCCATGATCGCGAAAGTGGAAGCAGATCTTCTTGTCCGCTCCTTTGCCAGCTCCCTTCGACGCAGCAGCAAACGTCTGGTCCGCGCCAGCTCTGGCCGCGGCAGCTGCTCCTTTCGCAGCAGCCTTCGCAGCGGCCTTGAGACTCTTAATCTCCTTCTGAGCCTCAGCCAGCGCGACCGCCGGGTCCGCGCTCTGCGAACCGGTGGCCGTGTACACAGAGTGGGAAACAGCCCTGTGCGCTGCTTCTCTCTGCTCGTACTCCAGAACGACCTTGTGGCTCTCCTCCCAAGTCTGCGGTCCTCGCAACCCGCCATCCTTGGGGTCGCCAGGCCACAACCTTTTGTCGTTCCGGATCTCCTTTTGGAGATAAGGGGGCATCTTGCGGAGGTACGAGAGATACAACTCTCGAGGGGTCTTCCCAAGACCTACTGCCTCAAGGTCCGCGATCGAGGCCTCAAACAAAGGCTCGAATTGGTGGCCTGTGAGCTTACCCTTAGCGAGAGAGGCATGCTCACCATCCACGCGGACTTCTCTTTCCTCCCGCGATTCCCCGAACATCAAGTGCTTGTTCTTGATGCGGTCATACACCGCCTGTGGATCTGAGAGAACCTCTCCCGACTTCCACGCTGCGCGGTACGCGTTCGTGTACGTCTTCATGCGCGAGCCGCGGCAGCGCCCGCGTAGCGCTAACAGCTTTTCGCGCGCACTCATACCGCGACAGTTGTTGGCCAGCGCGCAGACGTCCTCGAACTCCTCGTAGAACAGGACAACGTCTCGCGCGTCCGACTTGTCGTCGGTCAGCGTCGGCCACGTGAGGTCAGTTTTGACCGTAGTTATGGAGCTTTGCCCGCCCCTCTGCGCTAACGCTTCTTTCAGCGCCTCAGTTTGGGCGGCGAGTGCGGCGGCGAGATCGCCCGCCGGGTGTTGGGACCCGGTCTGCGAACCTCCGCCGTCTGAACCTCGCTTCAGGGCTTCTATCTCCATCTCTAGCGCCGCAAGCTTCGCGCGCAAAGGGGAATCGCCGTCCGTCGCGCCCAGGACACGGGCCGCGGAAGGACCACCTGCAACCTCAGCAGTGTGCAAACCTCCACGGTCCAATCCTACCCCCAACCCACTTGCAGTCGCAGGCTGTGGGAGCCCTGGGGAACGCGGCCCCACGGCTTCAACTGGCACATCGGACGGGGAGCTCCAAACCTTCTCTTGGCTCGAGCTTTCTTTTCCCCCTAACGCGAGGATAAGTTCCCCGATGCATTGGATTTCGCGCTGAATCTCCTCTGCGTCTTCGGGGTCCTCGCCACCGCGCAAAGCCGCGACCGGGAACCTGGTCCGCAGCCGACGGACCATCTTCGTAGGATGCCAGTCCCCGCCTATCTTGGAGAACTCATCCGCAAGGAGGGTGGCTTTGGTGCTTAAGGCGTCAAGGTCGCTGGAGCTCACCGTGACTCCATGCGCTTTCAGCGCGAGGACAATCCGCGAAACGCGCGTCAAGTAGTCCGCGACCGGTTCTTGGTCTGGACGGAAAATCGCGCGCAGCTCCGCCTGCAAGCCCTCTGCGGTGCCTGGCACTGAACCTGCTGTCGACGGCGGACCGGACGGTCCCGCCGGGCGGGACCCTGGTGCCGTAGCAGGGACATAGGCAGCACCGGTAGGGACCATGGCCAGCTCCCTAGCCGCGGCGCTGACGTCCACCCGCGGCGGACTGTCGCCTCCAGCGCCCGAGGCCTCAGGGACTAGCTCGGAGTCCTCTTCTTCTTCCTCTTCATCCTCGTCCTCCTCTTCGGCGTCATGGAGGAACTTCATGACTTTCCGCCAGAGAGCCGCCTCTTGCTCTGGCGTAGTGCTGACCCCATCCCGCTTGGACAATGGACGGCTGCCAGTCTCCCTACGCCACTTAAGCCAAGCGACGTAGCTCATCCGCTCGGGATAGGGAACGTCTCCACCCTCGATAGCTTCGAGGAGGGTGACGCCCTCAGCCTGACCTGCAACCTCTGCGGACATTGCCGCAACACAAGGCGAAAAGCCGCGCCTTGGATAGCAGGCCGCAGGCGTGGCACGCGAAGCGCCGCGCCTTGGTTAACAGGCCGCAAGCGTGGCACACAGTCCACGCGTCCAGGTCACGGACCGCGACAGACAAGCAAAGCAATGCTTGCCCACTCGGGCCGTAGGCACAAGAGCTGTACGTTTCCCAGAACAGCCCCCAATTGTGAAGTCGACCAGCACTGGACTTGCACTAAGCCAATGCAATCACAGCCCGGTCACGCTGTTTTACGACTTCGTGAGTCCAAGCACTTGTGCAGCTACGCCTGAGTGCGTCCGGTCGGACCGCACAGCAACCTAGGAGCTACTGTACGACTCTACCGTGCTCAAAGGCACAAGCTCGGTACTTGAGCCAAAATATTGGCATTGTTACGAATTGCAAAACTACACATGCAAAGGAAAACTACAAGCTGCACTAGCACTAAGCAAGCACTCCATGCATGCTTTGACCTGCTCACAATATATATTATATATATTATATTATACATAGTATATTATACATTATCTATTATATATTATATATTATATATTATCTGTTCTACTAACTATATATATATATATATATATACACTACTAAACATTATATCATGTGTATATATAAATATATACACACTTATACTTATATATATATACATATATATAAATATATATATCTATACATATCATAAATATATTTATATTTATATTTTCATATTGTTGTACATTATATGATATATGTATGTATATGAATAAGTAAGTATAAATATGAATAAATAAATAAATGAATAAATAAATAAATATATATATATATATATATATATCGCATATTGAATATTGTATCTTATATGTCATATATTGCATATCATATGTTGTATATTGTACATTATATACTGCGTATAATGCATAATATGAAGTATATAATATATATATATATACAATATACTATATACATACTATACAATATATAAAATATATAACATTTTTTATTATTACTTAATCTGTTTTTTATTATTCATTATATAGTATATTTTATATATTATGTAGTATGTATTATATATTGTTCTTTGAAGCCATTGGAATGCAAAGAAAATGGAAGTTTTTTGCTTAAAACATGTAGAAGTAGAGTTTTTCCGATGGAAACATAGAGATAATAGAGGATTTCTCATGAAAACGTGAAGACAGTAGACGTTTTCTTGTGGGAGTATGAAAAGATAGAGGTTTTCCCATTGAAAGATAGAGAAAATAGAAGGTTTTCCAACCACTACCACCACTTCTACGCATCGTGCGAACATTGTTTGCAAATGGGGGGGGCTGCGCCCCCCCCAACCCCCCCGCTGTTTTTTTTTAACTGTGCAAAGCGTGCTGCAAAGCCAAGTGGGGGGGGTGGGGGGGGGCTGCACCAACCCCAACCCCCCCGCGTTTTTATCAAGCTGTGCCACTGCACAGCGTGCGTTATGAATCTGGTGGAAGCCAACGGGATACTAAAAAGACCAAAGACAAAGTTACTCTTAAAATATCTGGAAATAGAGGTTTTCCGATGGAAACATAGAGATGATAGAGGTTTCCTATGAAAACGTGAAGAAAATAGAGGTTTTCTTGTGGGGATATGAAGAAATAGAGGTTTTCCTACTAAGAGATCGAGAAAATAGAAGGTTTTCCAACCACTACCACCACCCACTACTACCCATCGTGCGAGCATTGTGTTTGCAAATGGGGGGGGGGGCGCCCCCCCACCCCCACCCCCCCCCCCCCCCCCCCCCCCCCCACCAACCCAACCCCCCCCCCACCCCCCCCCAACCCCCCCCCCCCAAAACCCCCCCCCCCCCCCAACCTCCCCCCCCCCCCAACCCCCCACCCCCCCCCCCCTGCTGTATTCCAAGAAGGAAACTGCGTTATTTTTTTTTTGATGCTTAATTATTTTTTTTTTGATCCCTTGGGGTTATTTTTTTTTTGATGCTTATTTATTTTTTTTTTTGATCCTTCACCCCTATTGTAATCCCTGTTAAGGACTGTTAGTATAAGGGGGAACATCCCAAGATTACACGTTCATTCATGCAACTGAGCTCCTTTCCGTATCGTCCGTGTCGCCACCTGCCACGCGGAGCCATGCGAAGTTGATGCGGGTGCGGTGCAGGTGGAGGATAGCAAGAAGGCGCTGGCAGCATGCGCGGGCCTTCCTGGGCTTGGTGTGCTGAAGGACCAGGTCTGGAGGCTTTGTAAACGAGTTGCAGGCTGTATGTGTTTTGGCGACGGGCAGGCGAAGGTTCGATGGTTCCCACTTCCTTGAGCCCTGAGCCCAAAAACCCTGCATCCTCGACCCCAAAAGCCACGAAGCCCCATACCCTAACCCCTGGCTTCAGGTCCCTGGAATGCTGCGAGCACCTTGTGCTAGAACCCTAAACCCCTGAACCCGAAGACCTAAACCCGGCGTACTAAATGCGTACTAACCCTCCAAGGCCAAAAGCTGGAGACATCGATAGGCGGCGCCCTGGTGCAAGAAGTGTTCCACCTCAAGGCGTGGTGGTCTTTTAGGGTTGAGGGTTGAGAGTTGAGGGACAACTTCCAGCAGGTACTTCCCCTCATTCAGTCGCCCTAGTACCCTTGTATGCGCCTTGTACAAGGGCACCCTGCCCAGGAACTACGCCCCCTCAAGCTGTCCTCAAGAAGCCGTTTATCAAGCAGGTTTCAAAGAGAGTAACACAATTTCGGATACTTACAACCATGCTTGTAATTATAGCTCACTTATTTTGTAGTAAGTTCCTTAAACACTTTTTTCATCCCTAACCCTAAGCTGCACCCTGATAAACCCCAAACCTTAAACCCTAAACTGAGTTCTCTGGGTCTTCATCAAAGCGGGTTGATTCGATGTAGGGTTTAGGCTTAGGGTACAAGAGGGCGTTCCCTGAAATTCCCCCCTCCCCTCAAAACGCAAGCATGCTCGCGTCCTCCTTATATCAACCCCTCAATTGCGGAAGCGCCCTCATATCTGGTCAGTTCTCCAGATTGGTGCCTCTGTTTCGAGTATGGCCCACTATGTTTAGGGGGCTCCCAAGATGGACCTCATTTAGATTTCTGACCCTGTCGGGCGTTTGGTTGTCGCGCCCTTGGGTGATGGAGGTTCAGGGCCAGGAATAAGATTGTGGGTAGAGTTCAACTTTGTTCGCTTTTGGCTTTGATTCAGTGCGATTCGGGTGGGGGGCGTATGGTTTGAGGGATGCCGTAATTCAGCTACACAGGTTTAGGGGGTCTTTCAAGTTTTTTTGGGTCAGGATTCTCAGCAAGGCTGGAGATCGAAAGGGGGGCAGGGACACATCAACAAACCCTAAGCCCCAGACCCTTATGCCCTTATGTGGGGGGTTTGGCCGAAAGTTGGGGTACCCTCTTGCGGGGTCCCCCCTTCTAAGGGGATGCTATTCGATTTAGGGGGTATAAAAGGGGTACCCCTATCCGGGGAAATACCCCTAAACCCTAAACCCTAAACCCTAAACCCTAAACCCTAAACCCTAAACCCTAAACCCTAAACCCTAAACCCTAAACCCTAAACCCAAACCCTAAACCCTAAACCCTAAACCCTAAACCCTAAACCCTAAACCCTAAACCCTAAACCCTAAACCCTCCTTATGTGGCTTAAAGCTCCGGGTCAGGAGGATGCCAGTGCCGACGTCATCCTTCTCCTCGACCCATCCGGCCAGAACAACTTTGCTGTAAATCAGGCCTGGAGAACCTTAACCCTAAGCCCTAAACCCTAAGGCCTAAGCCCTAAACCCTAAACCCTAAACCCTCAACTCTAAACCCTAAACCCTAAACCCTAAACCACCCTCAAACCCTAAACCCTAAACCCTAAGACCCAAAAGCCCTCAATCCTAAACCCAAAACCCAGTCTTCTGACTCACCAAAGCACTCAGTTTTCCCCCCGTGTGTTCTTTGAGTTCCCTCAGTTCAGGCCTTCTTTGATGCCGTGACTTCAGGGTTTGGGTGCACTAAACAATTAAGGGGTTTATGGTTTAGGGTTTAGGGTTTAGGGTTCAGAGTTTAGGGTGGAGTGTGGTATGATCTGCAGTCAATGCTCCTAACAGAGGGTGCGCAACGCGAGTCCCTACGACTCGCGGGCATGATCGACTTAGAGTTTAGGAGCAGCTGCCTACAGCGGGGTTGACTCGCCACAAGGAGAAGGTCAGCAGGTACAGGAGCCCATGTTCCTGCCTTCTTTACGCTCCAAACCTTAAGCGCCCCTTGAAGGAACCCGAAGCCCTGAGTTTTAGGGTTTCGGGTTTAGGGCACTAAACCCCGAAGCTGGGAGTAGCCGCAGGCTCCGATTGGAGGGATGAGCAAAACCATGCGATCCGTGCTGCCCGGCACGGACAAGGCGCGCTCTCTCCCTGCGCAGTGCGCATCGTGTCGATTGAGGCGTTCGGATGGCTAGCAAGTGCAACCTCCCAAACTCGAGGGTTTGGGCGTTGTTTCGAAGGCTTGTTAGGTAGGTTTCGAAGGAAAGGAGGATGAGGACGTTGCAGACGTTGCAGAGGCTGCTACGAGCCCAAGGCTCTGTAACCTGCGTGCCAAGTTAGTTGGAGCAAAGCATCTTAGATCTTACTCCTTGTTGATAGAACCCGGGTTGCAGCTACTTCGTCAGACTCAGTCCTCATATCCCTCCCCCCCTCTCCCAAAGAAACGAGGACAACCTCACAAACAACAACCCGGAGAACTCAGACCTGAAGCCCCGGAGCCCAAAGCCTTCTTAACCCTTCCCGCGCCTCAGAAGTTCTGAGAGCCCTGAACCCTAGCCTCTCAATCCCCAAAAGCCTCAGAAGCCCTACGAAGCCTTCCTTAAGGGGCCAGGGAGCCCGGTAGGTAGGTGAGAAGCCAGGATATAATTTGGATATCCGAGCTTAAGGTTGAGTACCTTAGAACCCTACATGGAACCCACGTGCTATGTTCCCTGAGCCCAAAAACCTGTGAGCTCGGCAGCCTTAATCATTCCAATCTGTGTAGGTGTCGAACGCCTTGGCGCTGATCGGCGCCACCTACCCCATCCCAGAAGGCCGTCGGTGTCGTACCTGTGTGGGAAAGCGTGCGGTTGAAGCTTTTTTTTCAGGGTTTTCAGGATTTGGCGGGCTACGGGGTGGGGTTCGGATTTTGGGGGTTAAGGTTTCTAAACCCTGAGGGTTTAGGGTTTAGGGCTGAGGGTTCAGGGTTTAGGGTTTGCCTGCGATGCATCCAAGCTCCACGCCAATAAGGGTTCTGAGCTGAGCTTAAAGTCTAAGGGTAGTTGCATGGGCCCTTAAAATAGCCCCTTACCTTCTTTAAAGGCTTCTGAAGGATAAGGGTTCTGAGCTTAAAGTTCAACGGTGTATATATGTATATATATATATATATATATGTGGGCCCTATAAAAGGGTTCCGAAATATGGACATAAGGGGTATACAAGGGGGACCCCTTTTAAGGGCCCAGACGAAGGGACATTGTAACTACCATTGGAACAAGGTTTAGAGGCTTCAGGGATGCTTGAAGTTTCCCCCCCCGAATCCTCTAGAGAGAGCTCTCGCGCGAAAGGGAAAGCTGGCGCTGCCGTGAGCTCAGTCTGCTTTCTTTAAGCGTTTAGGGTTCAGGGGAGCTGAGAATGCAGTTGGTTGCGTCGGGATCTCAGCCGGATGTGTGAGGAATTCGGCTGCACGATGCGGATCTTTCTGCAGATCATCATGAAGTTCGTAGGTGTAACAATAAGCGCCAACAATGGCAGCTGTCACAAGGAAGTAGAAGTCATACTGAAAATGAAGAGTACTGGTGGTAGTGGCAACAAAGAGTCGGAGCAACTTTCAGGCAGTCGCAAAGAATGGTAGCCAGAAAGCCTCATAAAGATCCGCGAAGGTCGTGCGATTTTACTCGCACTTCCTGAGCGGCGCCATGACGAAGAGCAAGCAGGCCACGCAGAGTGACGACCAGGGTTCAGGTTTCAAGGTTTTTGGGGTTTTAGGGTTTAGGGTTTTGGGTTTTAAGGTTTAGGGTCCCAATGTTGGGGTTGAAAGTGTCAAAGTAGGTCTTGCAGGGTTCTACTTGCAGGGTCTCGTGGCAAGTTCATGGCTGCTGGAGTTTGATGTTTGTCGGTCAAAGCCCTCTGGCCTAAACCCTACGTCCTAAACCCGAATTCCCTGAGATCCTAACCTTAAATCCAAAAACCCTGAGACCCTAAAACCCTAGAACCCTAAAACCCTAAGAACCGTAAAACTCCAAAACCCTAGAACCCTAAACTCCAGCAAAGTACAGTAAGGCCCTTGAAGAACAAGCCGGCCCAGGGACTCAAGTACCCCTTCATTAAGGAATATTCCTTACATGATAAAAGGGTTCCTTGTATGGTTGAAGGAATATTCCTTAATTCTTTAACAGGTTCCTGGTATGCTTTAAGGAATATCCCTTAAACTATAGTGGGGTTCCTTGCAGGGTTTAAGGAATATTCCTTAAACTAAGGAGTATTGGAGCCTCTGCCTCTGCCCGGCCAAGCCTAAGCTCCCGCCCAGGGCTACGCTCTGAACTTCTCCCTGGGCAAAGCACTCCACCAGCGTGCCGCTCAGTTTTGGAGGGGTTGAGGGTTCAGGGCTTGGGGTTTTGGGGTGTGGCAGCTTGGGGTGTTGTGGTTCGAAGCTGGTTTGATTTGGAGGCTTGCTCTTACCCTGCATGTGCATTGCTCCTGCTGTATGGTGAACGGCCGAGGTCGATACCCTCAGCCGCCTAGGTTGTCACATGCAGGGAAGTTCTGGTTCATCGTTCGTTCGGGCTGGTATCGTTCTTAGCTATTGCGCAGGGGAGGGGGGGGAGGGAGGAATGTGACTTTGGGTGGCTGCCAGGACACTGACGTTCGTGGAGGAGGAGGATGTACAGATGCCTGGTGACACCCCGAGTGGCGGCTCCGCCACGTTACCAGCAAGATTGCCTGTTTCCACATGTTGTTTCTTCGGCGTTGTGACCACTTCTACTAGCAGCTGATGGCACATCTCTCCTATCTACTGTGCGGGCCCATGGTGTTCGGGCGAGGTAGCCGGATAGTTCTGGCGGCATGTGATGATGAGTCTTCTAGATGGAATGCATTGCTCGTTCCTACCCGTGATGAGGAAGTGCTACCTGGTCCGTGATCCGATGCTCGTTGCTTGTTTCGGCCTGCGTTACTCGCGCACGGGAGCTCTCTGCAACCTGCGTCGAGTATTGACTCTGGCAGCTGCACAGTTTCCTAAAGTGTTGGCAGAGGGTGTCTCTGTGACGCAGGCTGCGTACGCTCAGGATCCGCTAGCCAAGCTGCATGGCTGTCGAAAAGGCCATGTTCTACAACAGGTCACAGTTCACATGCTCACAAGCTCTGATGCTGCGAATGTGATAGCAGAGGCAACGCCAGGTCTGTGTGTGGATGGGAGAAAGCGAGGAGCCAACCAAGCTGAATTTGATTTTCTTTGTGGTGGACGCAGGGTGGAATGCAAAGGCACGAGCATGGCTTGGAATCGCAGCAAACGAGTATGGGTCACCAGCTGGATTAACATTAAGTTTGGCTGGGGCTGGTTCGATGACTTGTTCCTTGCTCTGCACTCACCAGGGCAGGTGGATGTACTCTTGCATGATGGAGTGGCGGGTATTTCCTCACAGGGAGTGCGAACAGCAGTTCATGGCCATACCGTGCAGGTGCAAGCCACCCGCAACCTTGAGGATGCAGGCCAGGCTTGTGAAGAGATGCTCCAAAAGTTACTGATGCCTCCGAACTCTTGTAGGCACGTGGGCACTATGCGAACAGACAATAACTTCATGGTCGAGGCATTGAGGAAGGAAGAGGCGGTTGAGAGTAGTTGCCTCGTATCACAATGGTATGCAGGAGCCCCGCTGGCTGACCACAGTCCATCTTTGCGCGGTTTACGCCTGCAGGAGATGGCTTACACCATTGATCAGATGCGTCACCCATGCAGCAATTTCAGGCGAGGTGCAGGAGCGGATGAAGTCGTACATGCATCGCAACGACAGCGCCGAGGGGTATACAGAGCCTGTGCTGACTGGCTGCGGGATAGCACACGAGTTGAGTTTAAGTCGTCTATGTTGGGTTGGGACTGTGCCAAAAGTCGCTGGAAGGCGACTTTCGCTTGTGTCAAGTTCGCTTCAGCCGGCACAGCTGGAACGGGGGCGTTTGACGAGCTCTGGCTCGGTCTGTACAGTCCAGTCGGACTGCATCTGTTTCTGTACTCTGGCAAACTTGGATGCTCAACGGTGGGCGTGTCCACTGAGGCAACTGGACATTGCATACGGGTGTATGGACCTTCACATGAAAAGTGCCTGGATGCCGCTCTTGAAGTTATACTGGCTAAACTGGTAAAGTCTGGCTGCACGCTGCTCGCCAAAGTTTTCTGGTGATGGGCTCCAGATCTCGGATGCCCTCCTCTGTTGCATGATGAAGGAAGCTGAGAGAGGACTTGCCCTCATCTGTGGACAAGCTGGGCCAAGAGTCTCTGTGTCAACTTCAGGACATGCTGTCCTAAACGTGGAGGTGCTGAGAACAAGGAAGTTGGGCCCAAGAGTGATTGAGTTTCAAGCTCAGGCAAATTTGCGTGTCACGATTCTGGGATCTCGCTTGCCAGGCGAGAAGCTGCCGGAAGTCTGCCGTCATCTCAGGGCCGTCGTTAGCAGGATGCAGGATTGCCATTCAGGATGGGCGTGGAGAGTAGTCCAACGATCATGCCTCCCGTCCAACTATCAACACACCGGTGCCCTTTCCTGCGGCAAGAGGCCTCTACGTGCTGTCCCTGGCCCAGCTGAAGCAGGTTTTCGACAAGTGCGCCGAGGTGCGAGAAGGGGACTCAAGCCGACACAGGCAATCATCCCCTGGACCCTGGACCCCGAAACCCTAAACCCTAAACCCTCAACCCCTAGGCCGCAAATCCGTAAACCTCAAGGCCCCAAGCTTCCGGACGTGCATGGCATCTCAGCGTCAGGATTTGTCGATCCGTGGGTTTAGAGTCAGCTCCGGCCCGTCCTCAGAGCTGCCCCGAGAGCCTCAGACCAACTCTGTCTGGAACCAAAAGCCCGAAAAGTTTTCAGCGTTTCGAGGGGTGACTCCTAAGTCCCACACCCCACACCCCCAAAGTAGTTCTTGGGTCACAGAGGCCGGCATCCTTGAGGGTGCGTCCACCTGGGAGGCCTCGCACTTGCAATCGTCAGGATTTGGCAGGTTCCGAGGCTCGGGATTTTGAAATTTTGGCGCCTTTAGAGAGCGGTTAGGGTTTGTCTGGCTTAAGGTTTAGTGCTTGGGGCCTTTAGGAGTTGGGGTTTAGGGGTGTTGTCACATCGCCGTTAGCTGGTGCTCATGGGAGACGCTACAGGGGACGTTGCGTTAGTCTGGGGCCGCCCTCACGCGCAGGAGGTGGAGAAGTCGTCGGAACTCTGCTTCTCGCGTTGCCCGGGCCCCTGATGCTGTTGCAGAATTTCGGGGACTTCGTGCGTCCGGTGAGGAGCTGAGGGCTCCTCCATCTCAGCCTGAAAGTTTGGCAAACGAAGCAAAAGGCAGAGGAAGGGGCCTCAAAGTGGGGACCTGAACCCCGCTAAGCCCAACAATTTTTTTTTTTGGACCGGGACACTCGCGCCCAAAAGCCCTGGAATCTGAAGCCCTGGGTTTGGGTTGAGGGTTTAGGGTTTGGGTTTAGGGTTTAGGGTTGAGGGTTTAGGGTTCCAGGGTTGCAGGGTTCCAGGGTTCAAGGCATTCTGGGGCTTCAGGGTATCGAGCGCCTAAACCAGGCCCCGACCCCGCCTCTGAGCCGCGGGAGACGGTCCTGGAGCTGCACCTCTGCCAGAGTGGATGAGGGTTTCCACCCCAAGCCCGAAACCCTCAACCCTAAACCCAAACCCCAACCCTAAACCCTACATTCCTAAATCCTAAGCCCTAAACCCTGAACCATGAACCCTGAACGGGGCCTGGGCGGGCTGAAGGAGTTTGGGTTTACGGGGTTAGGGTTTGTGTGGGGCTGCAGGGGTTGTCAGGTTTGAGGCTTTGGCGGCTTGGGGGTTCAGGGTTTGAGAGCTCGAGTGCGTTGAGGATTAGGCTTTGAGGGTTTGAGGGTTTGAGGGTTTGAGGGTTTGAGGGTTTGAGGGTTTGAGGGTTTGAGGGTTTGAGGGTTTGAGGGTTTGAGGGTTTGAGGGTTTAGGCTGTAGGGTTTCGGGTTGAAGAAGCTTGAGTTGCCGTCAATCGGTACAACACCTGCTTCGCCCTAGATTAGCTTGAACAGCCCCAGGGCCACTGGCACGTCTTTGTGCCCTTGTTTCTGCACAAAAAGCAACGGTTGAAGCTTTACGGAGTACCGTGGCCGTCAACGAGCTGTCGCAAGGCTGAATGCCGTGGTCTGCCAACGAAATTGGACACGATCTTGCTTAGCCTTTTCTGTTGCGGTTGTCAGATTTTCACCTCAGATTCTGTGAGTTTAAGTCGTCCTCAAAACGCACCTTCATGGCCTCTCCATGGCTACCAGTCTCTAAAGAAGGCGACTGACGAGCGAGTCTTCCGGATGCGCATGTGTTCTGTGGTTTGTTCTCCCGGCGTATCTTGTTTTAGAAGGATGTTTCAGGAACTGTGGGATCTTCATTGGCGAGCGTAGGTGACGCAAACTTTGCAGATTCGATCGTGAGCCGTGCCGCCGCAGCCGGTTGTCAGTGAACTTGCATCCTGCGCGTCAGGGATTGCCGGAGTCAATGCTGCTCAGCTGATGGTTGTTCATATTTTACTGTCTCCGTGCGGCAGTTGCGTGCCTGCACACTGAGTTCGCAAGGTTTGTAGACTTGTCGGGCGCGAAGATGTGCACAGTTGGAGGGTTCGGTGTCATCCAAGGCATATGATTCGAAGCGTCGTTCTGCACCTTTGCAGATGTCTTGACGCAGTGTACTCCCTGACGTCTTGACAGGTCGTAAGCGACCAACGGAAAGGTGCATGTTAATCAGGCGCTCCTCCCCCAAAAGTACCCCTGCAAATACTTCATTCCTTCATTCGCAGAACTTACCGACGCACTTAGACAGAAGCCCTAGCCCTAAACCCTAAACCCTAAACCCTAAGCCCTAAGCTCTGAAGGCCCCACTTATAAAACTCAAGCCTCAGGCTCCTTGGCCCTCAGCCCGTTCATGGCTGAGGGGGTTTAAGGGTTTTTGGGGTTTAGGGTTTAGGGTTTGGGGTGTAGGTTTTAGGCGGACGACAAAGGCCGAAACCTCAAATCCCTAAGCCCTACAAAAAACCCAGCGAGGTGCATGCGTGCATGTATCTAAGTGGGAAGTATGTGCGTTGCAACAAGGTTTGTCTTGCGCGGTTTGCATTGTTGCGTTGCGCAGGCGCAAGGTGAAACGTCAAGCTTGCTGTGCAGTGCTTCAAGCCTGTGGCTCTTCCTACAGGGCTTGTAGTTGCAGGAGGGTTGACCTCGTGTGTTAGCTGAGCCCTGTGTGAGCATTTTGCTTTTCCCACCCACCACGACCCTGCAAAATGTGGGGGTGGGGATTTTCGATTCGGTCCCGAGGAGGGATATCTTCTTGACAGGGCCGGTCATGAGTCTCACTTGTGGCTGTTGGGATTGCTTGAGACTCGTGACCCCACCATCTCAGGGTAAAAAAACGGAAAGCTCCGTGCGCCGCTTGTGCACTTGCGTTCTCCTTGCTGCTCGGCTAGGAGGTCCCTTTGGCTGGGTTCTGTTGCGTAGCTAAATACTTCCCTCACCCAGTCTCACTCTGACTCTGGTTCTTAAACCCAAGTCTCCACATCCCCGCACCTCCCCTAAACCTTAAACCATAAACCTTAAACCCAACCCTAAACCCTAAACCCTAAACCCTAAACCCTAAACCCTAAACCCTAAACCCTAAACCTTAAACCCTAGACCCTAAACCCTAAACCCTAAACCCTAAACCCTAAACCCTAAGCCCTAAACCCTAAACCCTAAAACCGAAACCCTCACTTTTGTGCGGGTATCCCAGGCGGCATCGCATCCGAGCGCCCAGCCACTCGCAGTGGCCACTGCCGCGGGCGCGCTGGGGGTGTTTAGGGTTTAGGGTTTAGGGTTTAGGGTCCAGGGGTCTGGGGTCAATCTTAGCGGTTTTCGGGTTTGGGGTTTAGGGTTTAGGGTTTCGGGTTTAGGGTCTAGGGGTTTGAGGTTTAGGGTTTAGGGTTTAGGGTTTGGGGTTTAGGGTTTGGGGTTTAGGGTGCTTTTCGGGGGAGTGCATCTGGGGCTCTCAAGGTTGGGCAGTTTAGGAACGTTGGGTGTGAGTGTTCACAGGAAGATCGGGGGGGTGGTATGCAGGGGATGTTAGGGTTGAGGAGTTTACGAGTTTAGGATCTTGGGGTTTAGGGGCTTCGGAGTTGCGGAGTTTGGGAAGATCGCTAGAAGCCACTGTAGCTTTACTCTGCAACTTTGCTCTCCAACTCAGGTACCAGCTATGTTTTGGGATGTTCCTCTATTTCAATCCCTACTAAGGACTGTTATCATCCCTACTAAGGACTGTAAGTCTAAGGGGGAACATCCCAAGCCATGCCCCTGACCATCCTGCGAAGAAGCCCGGAAAGGTACCTGTTAGGGTTTTGGGTTTAGGGTTTAGGGTTTAGGGTTTAGGGTTTAGGGTTTAGGGTTTAGGGTTTAGGGTTCCCGAGACCACGGCCAGGACATGACGACCCGCGCGTCTGAAGTGGCAACAATCACTGCGCCAGAGAGCCAGTGAGTCTTTCCGAACCCCGAAAGCACCACCCCCCTCTAGACTACTACCCCTAGGTTCCCCGCAGAATTAAGGCTCTTTAGGCAACATTTAAAGCCTAATTAAGGTTGTATAAGGAAGGAACCTCCGGGGGGGGGGGGGGGGGGTAGGGAGGGGAAGAGGCTTTAGCTCCTGGATGTGTACTTTTGTGTAGATTTTAGCGCCTGTTGCGGGCGCGGCCGACTGCCTTCGGGTACTGTTTAGGGCGTGGCTTGCAGGTTTGACAGAGAGATTTTCTAAGTTTATCCTAAACCCTGAACCCTAAACCTTAAACCCTAAACCCTAAACCTTAAACCCTAAACCCTATACATCCAGATTCCACCTTTTGGCGAGCAGCTGGAACGACCCGAAAGCAGCCTGATCGTCTCACCCTCCGCAGCCCGTAGCCTGATGCCGAGATTACCACAGACCTCGCGGGCGACGGGACGGTTTTCGCTTCTGCTGGTGGCACAACCTCCTCATGGCGCGTGTGCCGCAAGACCCTAAACCCGAAACCCTAAACCCTAAACCCTACACCCTAAACCCTAAACCCCAAACCCCAAACCCTAAACCCCACGGTATGCGGCAATGTCCTGCAGCACCTGGGAGCCTTGCATGGGGGCCTGTGGAAGCCTGCGAAGAAGACCACTTCCCTGATCAGAAAACCTTAAACCTTAAACCCTTAACACTAAACCCTAAACCCTAAACCCTAAACCCTAAAACCTAAACCCCAAACCTCAAACCCTAAACCCTAACAACTCCCAAGCCCGAAATCAAACTCTCAGCCTGCAGAAGTGCGGCTGCGATGGGAGGTTGTGTCTTCTGGCCAGAGATTTTCGGGCGCCTCCTCCCGGGGCCCTCTTTACCCAAACCAGAGACCGAAAGCTCCAGAGACCCAAAGTTTCAACGCAGAGTTTCGAGATACTCCGTAAACCCTCATAGTTTCATAGCTTAGTGTGTTTGGTTTAGGGTTTAGGGTGTCTGGTTTTCGGTTTCCCCAAACCCTAAAAATCAAGTCTTTCGTCCTCACGCAGCAGCATTTTTCGCGTCGCCGACACCCAAGTTTCGCTGCCGCTCACGGCGAAAGTCAGATTCTGGTCCTAGTCTCTGTGGTGCTTCACTATAACTTCAGATCCTTAGGCTTTGGGGGTTTATTGGGTTTCTTAACAAGGCAGCTAAAAATCAATTGTATAGCTACCTTGCTAAGTGCAGCCAAGTAGTGCTAGAGTTGAGAGATGAAGCAGTAAGGTTGAATCGAAGATTCTCTTCGCGGAGACTTTGTGTGGGATCTTGTTTTTCGCGTATGCTGCGGTCGTGTTGGTGGCGTTGACTACGGCTACCACTGCCACACAGCAGACAAGTGGGGGCGGGATGGCGGAGGTAGATTCCGGGCGCATTTAAAACCCTACGCCAAAAGCAAAGTACCACATAACAAGACCCAATGAGGGGCCCCAAAACCCTAAACTCTAAACCCTCGATCCTTACACAGGACTTTTGAAGTTGTTTAAGGGATCCATTCTCGTCTTTTCAACAGCCCATTGGAAAATTAACCATCCACATTTTGTATGTGCCGCACCTCAGCCAATGCCTACAGCGTGCTCATGCTATTGACCCCTTTAGGCAAGGTGCGTATCTCATCGATCAATGCCGCGGTTATCCACAAGCGGCGATAGAGCAAAATGTGGTAGCTCAGGGCCGGTTCAGCACTGAGTTTCTGTTGTGCACGGAAGACCTTTCTGCTGCCTTGACTGCTCTGGCTGTGATGATGGGGTCGTTTGCAAAGAAGACTCCCTAACACATTCGAAAGCACAGGGTGTCAAGAGGTGAAGCACCAAGGGCCCCCAAACCCTAAAACCTAAAACCCTAAACCCTAAGCCCTGTTCAGTGTGGAGGGCTTTCTGCAAAGCCTTCTTCTGAGCATGGCGGGAAAGGCTGCTGAGCAGGTTCGGGGGGGGGGGGGGGGGCCTAAAGGGCCTTTGTCCTAGTCCTTTTTGGTGTACATGTACAGTCTTTTGAATTTGGGAGTGTTTGGGGGGTGTCCTTTGGGGTTGAGGGTTTTGGGGGATGCTTAGGCTTAGGGTTTGGGTTTAGGGATCATAGAGGGGGTTGGGGTTCAGGGTTCAGGGGAATGTTCGTCCCAGCCCGAAATAGGGCCCAACTACCCGAACCCCTAAACCCTAAACCCTAAACCCTGAACCCTAAACCCTAAACCCTAAACCCTAAACCCTAAACCCTAAACCCTAAACCCTAAACCCTTGTGTGGGCCTGGTGAAGGTGGGGCACCTGCAAGCCCTGAGCCCTAAGCCTTAAACCCCAATGGTTTGCTCCGAACGAAATTAGGCGCGAGCTGGTGCGCAGATCTCAGGACACATCGCCCTGACCCCAGGAGGAGGTGTTTTTGGGTTCAGGTGTTTTTGGGCCAAACTTGGCCTGTGGTTTGGGGTTGAGTTTAGGTTGTTGGGGTGCCATGTTGATTCGAACTGCCGCCGTTTCATGATTGTTCTGACGATTATCCTTGTTGCTGTGACTACTGACTATTGCTGGCATTGCTGCGAGTGCTATATTACTATTTCTGTCATATACACTACTACGTTTACGACTGCTATCACGCCTGCTACTGCTACTACTATTGCTATGACTCCACTCCTGCTACTACCATTGCAATTACTATTGCAACTACGCATGCTACTATCTGCAACGAAGAATAACAGTAGTTCTACAACCCATTCTACTACTTCGAAATCTATCACTACTGCCAAGGAAATTACAGGAGCAAGTCTCAGCAAGCTGTTCCCCAAAAAACATCCGCAATTCGTTGCAGAGTTCTGTGGGCTGTAATCCCGACACAGCCACCCTACAACCCATAGAAGAAAAGTTCTTATGGAGAGTAGCCCCCCCCTTAACCCCCTTTAAACACCCCGTTAAACCCCCCTTAAAACCCCCCTTAAACCCCCTTTCAACCCCCCCAAACCCCTCCCCCTTCCCTTTGGCCAAGGTCGACCCCGTAGCGCGGCAGAGGTTCGAGGTGGCTCCTACAGCTGCATCCCACTAAGCCATTCCACCTCAACCCTGTTGGGGGACAAAAAGCTTCGGCTTTTTGAGCTTGAGAGTTTGCGGGCTTCAAGGCGAAACCCTAAACCCTAAACCTTAAACCCGAAACCCTACCTCCTAAACCCTAATTAAACCCTAAACCCTAAACCCTCGATTATGAACCTATGGGGAGCATCGTGCTGGGTATCGGAGGGAGACGGGACCTGTCGGCATGTCGCTAGAGTCTCAGTAAACCCTAAACCCTGAACCCTTAACCTTAAACCTTACACCCTACACCCGAGACCCTAAACCCTAAACCCTAAACCCTAAACCCTAAACCCTAAACCCTAAACCCTAAACCCTAAACCCTAAACCCTAAACCCTAAACCCTAAAACCCTAAACCCTAGGTTTCGGCTCGAGGGCCTCCATCCTCAGCCTTAAGCCTTGCAACTTGAGCGGCTTGGGGTTTCCCCGATCTGGTTCCTCTGTGTTTTCGTTTCCCAAATTATGTGGGTTTAGGGTTTAGGGTTTAGGGTTTAGGGTTTAGGGTTTAGGGTTTAGGGTTTAGGGTTTAGGGTTTAGGGTTTCTGGTTTAGGGTTTAGGGTTTGGGGTGGGACAGTTTTTTGGGGTCCCTACACCGTGGGGTTTAGGGTTTTTTTCGGGTTTAGGGTTTAGTGTTTAGTTTTTTTTTTTTTCGTTCCCCCCCTGGTCCTTAAATGAGGGCCCTGCACATACCCTTAAAAGGATTGTATAGGGCCCTCATTCCCGCATTCCCACTAAGAGCCAGCCAGTTTTTGGGGGTGCCTACACCATAGGGTTTAGGGTGTTTTACACTTTAGGGCTTAGGGTTTAGGGTTTAGGGTTTAGGGTTTAGGGTTTAGGCTTAGCGTTTAGGGCCCGCCTCCCCCCCAACAAAAGAGAGAAGCCTGAGCTGCAAGCCACTTGCCGTGGCCCCCTCCCTCCCTCAACCGTCAACCCAAAGTTCTGGTTTAGGGTTTAGGGTTTAGGGGTTAAGGGTTTAGGGTTTAGGGTTTAGGGTTTAGGTTTCAGGGTTTAGGGTTCAGGGTTCAGGGTCCCCTCCCTTACGAGTAGGGAATGAGGGAATGAGGTACCCTATATCATCCCTTAAAGGGTAGAATATAGGGGGATATTGCCACATTCCCTGATTCCCTACCAACCAACAGTAAGCTCCCCCGAGCCTAAACGCTTGTTTAGGGTTTAGGGTTTAGGGTTTGGGGTTTAGGGTTTAGGGTTTACGCTTTAGGGTTTACGGTTTAGGGTTTAGGGTTTGGGGTTTAGGGTTTACGACCCTGCTTTCCGCAGCACTCTTGCTCTCTACCGCGGCCCCGCCTTAGAAGAGATGAGGGCCGCAAGAAGTTTGAAGTGGCTTGGGCTGAGGTTCGGGAAGGGTTTTTTGTGGTTGAGGGTTTAGAAACCCTAAACCCCAAACCCTAAACAGCAAACCCTAAACCCTAAACCCTAAACCCAAAACCCCAAACCCTAAACCCGTTGAATCAAAGTAGCCGCAGCCTTGAAGTCTCGTTGGTCCTGAGCAGCACTTTCATGAGGCGTTCACGCCCTAAACAACCCGAAGAACCCTTCCAAGGACCCTAAGAACCCTAAGCACCCGAACCCTAAGAACCCCCAAAAACCCTTAAGAACTTCAAGAAGCCTAAGCCCAAACCCAAAGCACTGCAAATCTGCAGCTTTTTTGCTTTTCCTGGGGGGGGGGGGGGGGGGGGGGGGGCGGGGGCGCTACAGCCTGCGGGCTTTTCCTCGGCTTAGGGTTTGATCCTCCAGGCTGCGGTTTTCGGGGTTAGCTGTCTTGGGTGTGGGGGTTAGGCTTTAAGCTCCCAAGCCCAAGCATCATGCCCTAAATGCGGGCCCCTTGTGAGGGGAGCTTAGGAGCCGAAAGTGAACCCAGAGACCCCAACACTCCTTCATCAAGGACTATTC